GGTCCCCGCCCAGGGCCTCTGGTCACTTTGTGGGACTCCAAAGGCCGGAATCGGTGCACGCATTTATGCTGCGCCTTTGGTGTGAACGCTTAACAGCACCTGGGCGCGGCACGCCAATGTGTATTATTTTCTTTAAGATTTACGCATCCTGACTTCTGCTTTTTGAATAACAATGAAATGCGGCTTTTGTGTACCCGCGGTTCTCAACCTGTGGGTCGCGACCCCTAAAAATACATCCTGCATATCAGATATTTACATTACGATTCATAACAGCAGCAAAATTGCAGTTATGAAGTAGCAACGAAAATAATTTTATGGTTGGGATCACCACAACATGAGGAAGTGTATTAAAGGGTCGCGGCATTAGGAAGGTTGAGAACCACTGGCTGTAAACTGAAAGGAAACGAGGCAGACCTAGGGGAGGAAGATGCTTAGATTTTTTCCTCTATAAAAGGCTTTATAATTTATATCCCACGCCATTTCATGGACATCTCAATTATAACTGTGGTTCATATTTTCAAAATTTTAATCATTTAAAATACATTTCATTTGTCTCTTAAATACCCAATTGTGACCATGCTATGTAAATAATAAAACCTTTTTATTTTTTGCCTCCCAGTGGAATTCCATCATCAGTAATTTTTTTCATGCTTCTCTTTTCCACTCACAAATGTTAAATGACTACACAATTGTCCAGTAATAGACATACAATAGTTTCGTTTGCCCATTATTTATTTCTGAATACATACCTTCTTATCCTCCATTGTTTTATACAATCTGTAATAAGCATAGAATGTGGACACTTGGCCCTGTTTGGGGGTATATTCTAAAGGTAGAATACTGAATTCAGGATGAATATTTCTTTCCAAAACATCACCAGCAATGCTAGAGTATGCATTTCCCTCTATTAATATTTCCTTTACAGATATTTTATTAACTTGAATTTCTTCTTTAATTACTAGTAAATTTAAGTTTGGCGTATGAATAATTGTACCGTATACTTTGACATATTCCTCCAACATTATCCACAATTTGTATTACTGTCTTAAATTCTTCTAGGTTACTTATGCATATGCAAACTAATCAGAATATAGCCATATTCTTTCTACACTCTCCCTATTTTTTAATAAAAGATAGCATCCCATACTCACTGTTCTGCACCTATCTCTTTTCACTTGGAAATCTTCCCATATTAATATATAGAGAACTTCTTTATTTTATTTTAAACAGTTGTATTGTTTCCCACTGAGTGAGTGTGTCCTAAACTATTTAGGGAGTCCCCTACCCATGGACATTTAGCTGGTCCCAATTGCTTCCTGTTGTTTCTGGGGAGATGGCAGCAAGGTCCAGAGGCTTGGACCACTGCTGTCCTCCACCAAATCCTTCAGCGAGTTTTCAACATGTTCAGCATAAGAGGTTGGTTGCAATGAAATTAGCCTGGAGGAAATCTTCACTGGATTTGATCAGCATTCGGACGTCCTGGAGACCTGCTTGGTGTCAGAGCTGGGGATGGAAGGACTCTCCTAAGCCATGAAAACTCCATACTGGACCTGAAGATGTGCTTCCAAGGACTCAGTCTCTCTATGGAAATGCAAGCAGAGAGCTGCTGTACCTGGGAATTTGTGAGAGGAAGAAATCATGGTACCTTTCTCTTTTTTTATCAAGCTTCCAAGAATGATTGACAGCCATGGAATCAGTTCTGTGCTCTTAATAAAACAATTATTGCCCTAGCTGTTTTGGCTCAGTGGATAGAGTGTTGGCCTGCAGACTGAAGGGTCCCAGGTTCAATTCCGGTCAAGGGCACATGCCCGGGTTGTGGGCTCGATCCCCAGTAGGGTGTGTGCAGGAGGCAGCCAAACAATGATTCTCTCTTATCATTGATGTTTCTCTCTCTCTCTCCCTCTCCCTTCCTCTCTGAAATCAATAAAGAAATATATATATTAAAAAAAAACAATTATTACGAACCAGTGCAATTCATCATTTCAAAAGACTATTTTTTTCTGCCTTCATCATGAAATAAATTAAATTTGTCACAATACTTATTAGTAGTGCTACTGAACCACCTCCCAAAATTCAGTTTTGTGTGCCAAATACGCTAGTAAGCCAAACTCTGTGACACTGGCGGTTCGAAATAGAGAAAGGTTTCAATTTGGCCAAAGATAAAGGACAGGAGAGCTATCTCCTCCTGTTTGACAAAGAAACAGGACATCAGCAACTTTATTGTGAGAATAAGGGGTGCGGTGTTAAAGAACCAAGATTCTGCATAAATATTTCATAATTGTGTGTCAGATATCTTTAAAGCAAAAAGCAGAAGCTATACATCTTGTGACCATCACCATTAAGTTACATTGTTTTGTGCTTAACTAGTTGTATTTTCTATTATCTCAAGCAAAGTGTACTTTTACACATTTCTCCTAGAACTTGCTTAGTAGGCGCGCCTTCAGAACATGACCAACATTTTCTTAATCTTTGACTCTAAGCCAGAGGTCCTCAAACTACGGCCCGAGGGCCACATGCGGCCTGCCGAAAACATTTATCCGGCCCGCCGGGTGTTTTTGCCGCCGCTGTGTGCATAGGAATTTGTTCATAGTTTTTTTTTAAACTATAGTCCGGCCCTCCAACGGTCTGAGGGACAGTGAACTGGCCCCCTGTTTAAAAAGTTTGAGGACCCCTGCAAGCTATGTGACAACCAAAGCAATTGAAACATTTAGTTAAAGCCTACACCTATATCTCTAGACTCTATCATATAATACCTAAACATGTTTATTGTTAACTGCCAGTTTCAGTAGTATTAAGCCACTATGAGTTAATGCATGCAGTACATAAGGGGCACCAACCCAGCGTAGATGGCCTTTTAATATACAGATCTACTTAATGGTCTATTTTACTATATTTATTGTATTTCAATATTTTCTTGCATATCATGTTTACCTTTTCTTACATATCACGTACATTTACATTAAAAGTGTTCCCCTTTATATTTTTAAATTTTCTTTATTATTTGAAGTTTTACTTTCAAAAGCTTTTTGCATGTTTATTTTTAATAAATCAGTGCCAAGACTGATTTTGCAACTTCAACTGAAGGATGGAGGTGCAGTTCATTCATTTCATTCAGGCTATACGTAATACTTGAATATCTAAATCACAAGTTCCATGACTACCTTCAAATTTTTAAAAAATGAAGAAAATGCGCCAGCCTCTCTCAGAACTATAGAAAATGTAGGTCTCAGATGGTAAGAGAGAGAGAGAAAAACAAACAAACAAACAAAAATATATAAAGTACAGACCCAGACGCCCACTTCCTAGAATGACCGGCAAAGGCTTGGCAGGACTCTCTGCCTTCACTGGGCAGCCTTCGGATTCCTGTTACCAGACTGAAGGGGTTCGTTTGCCTACATGCATCAAAGCCCAATAAGATACGAATAGGAGTTTGCAGCCAAGAAAGAAAGGATTTATTAACACGTTAAGCGCCCAGCCTGTTTTGTCTTCCAGACGGAAAGTATAGTGTCAGTCACCGGTGACTGACATGGGGCTTAACGTGTGAAGGAGATGGGGCCATGCCCGGAGTCACAGGTAGCTCCTGCTCAAAGACCTGGCTTCCCGATGGCTTCCAGGCGATGGATGACATAGGGAAAAAATCATTAATCACGGTGACTAATGGAGTTTGGGCTGTGGTCTCTACTGAGTGGTTGGTGTTAGGGTAGGGGTATCTAACCATTGCATCTGGTCCTGATGTCGGCCATGCAGTTGCTCTGTTCAGTTTCGTAAGGATTTGTTCTGTGGGACTGTTCTGCTTTCCAGGGTCTGGAGCTAAAACACAACTGAGGTCAAGATATTATGTTTCACTCTGTCTCAGTAGTCAGCAGACCCAGGGCCTTGTTCCTAAGACTATTGGTTGTGGAGCAGAACCTCATTGTCCTGAGGACTTAGTGATTAAACAACAGAGAGGGAGGTGAATGAGGCAAGGGAGGTGATGGGGGAAGGGGATGCAATAAGAATAGGACCACAGTTGTTTAATGATTATTCACCTTGCTAACTATAGGTAAGAGGCTTTCCTACAGACCCTGGGAAACTGGAGGATGTGCTGCAAGATTAAAACAGAGCTGTAAAAAGTAAGAGATGCCTTGGGGCCCGGATGAAGCCATTGCTCAAAAAAAAAGTACATTTTGAGAACAGACAAGGACAGGATTTAGTTGCTGTGCCTAGACCCTGACACCCTCCGGGAGTTTTTGCCTCAGGAATGCTGACCATTCTCAGGTCCCAGGAACTGGCCGAGCTGGGTTTTGACAGCATTGAAAATGAACTACTAGTACTTTGTTATGGGACTTCAAGATCCCGGAAGGAGACACACAGGACCACAGACCCTGCAGGCATTCTGCTCCTCCTCCCCGCTTGCCTGCAGTTTTCTTCCTCACCCCTATATAATCAGCCTGCTAGTCAGGCAGGTGAATTTACAGGATGACTGCTGCTCTCTCCGTTCTGCCAGCAT